CCTGTGTCCGGGGAGCCCAGACCTCCCCACCTGTGTCCAGCGGACTCAGAGCCCCCACCTGTGTTCAGGGAGCCCAGACCTCCCCACCTGTGTCCAGGGAGCCCAGTCCTCCCCACCTGTGTCCAGTGGACGCAGAGCCCCCACCTGTGTCCAGGGAGCCCAGACCTCCCCACCTGTGTCCAGGGAGCCCAGACTCCCACCTGTGTCCAGGGAGCCCAGTCCTCCCCACCTGTGTCCAGCGGACTCAGAGCCTCCACCTGTGTCCAGGGAGCCCAGAGCTCCCCACCTGTGTCCAGGGGAGCCCAGACCTCCCGGTCTGTGTCCGGGGAGCCCAGACCTCCCCGCCTGTGTCCAGGGAGCCCAGTCCTCCCCAACTGTGTCCAGCGGACTCAGAGCCTCCACCTGTGTCCAGGGAGCCCAGAGCTCCCCACCTGTGTCCGGGGAGCCCAGACCTCCCGGTCTGTGTCCGGGGAGCCCAGACCTCCCCGTCTGTGTCCGGGGAGCCCAGACCTCCCCGCCTGTGTCCGGGGAGCCCAGACCTCCCCGCCTGTGTCCAGGGGACTCAGAGCCCCCACCTGTGTCCAGGGAGCCCAGACCTCCCCGTCTGTGTCCAGGGAGCCCAGAGCTCCCTGCCTGTGTCCAGTGGACTCAGAGCCCACACCTGTGTCCAGGGAGCCCAGACCTTCCCGCCTGTGTCCAGGGAGCCCAGTCCTCCCCACCTGTGTCCAGCGGACTCAGAGCCCACACCTGTGTCCAGGGAGCCCAGTCCTCCCCACCTGTGTCTAGGTTGCTCTCACTAGGACACTTCATATCTGTTTTCTAGGGCTGCACAAAGGGGGTTATTCCGCCCATGTCTGTGTAAAGGGGGGCTAGGTCTCCGCAAATTTGTGTCCAGGAGAGCTGAACCCAGGGGCTGAGGCCCTGGACCTTCATGTCTAGACCTCCGGCCTCCCCAAGGCCAGCTCCCTGCCTGCTCCTTCGATGCAGCCCCTCAGCGGAAATCCCCTGGGTCCACCTTCCCACCTCCTTTTTCCGCCCCTTTATTTCTTGCTGCCTTCCATTTCCCCGGCTCATCGGCCCAGATCAGCCCCTCCCCCAGCACCTCATTGATTCTGTTAAGAAGTCATCTCAGCCTTCACGTCCCTTCACCCCCCCTGCGCCACCTAACCCGCTTGCGGGGCCCCCTGGGGTCCTGCCCTCCCCGCCGGCCACCCCGACTGGCACCAATTAATTTCCCCCTCAGCCTGTCCACCCGCATCTGGTTGCCAGCTGCTCGGCCTCGGCCTGTCCACCCCACAGGCTCCCGGGAATTGCTAACAGCTCTCCTCCTCTCTGGCCCCTCCAAATCCAGGCCGGCCCACCAAAGCACACCGCCCCCCACTGGAGTCTGCTAATCAGAAAAAGGTGACAGTTAGACCTGGAGGGGGGAAGATCTGAGGTCAGACGGAGGAAGGGTGGAGTGTGAAACTTTCTGACCCAGAGATGCTGGTGGGGGAGGGGGCGGGTGGAGGGAGCCAGGAGCTTAAGCTGTACCTAGAGGCTTGAGATCAAAGCTTTCTGGCTTCCAGATGGGGACTGTGGGGGAGGGCTGCCCCCCCAGGGGCGGGCAAGGCTGAGCCCCGCCCCCCCTCCTCGGAAACCCCCTGAGACGCAGTGGTGACAGCTGTGCCCCAGCCCGCGCCCAGCGGGCTTCCTCTTCCTGTGCTCGCTCCCCGATGGGTTGGCCTGCAGCCTGGAGACATCGGCCCTTTTGAAGGGGCTCCCCGGAGGGTCTTCCTGGACAAGGGGGAGGGGACCGGCTGGAGAACAATGGGCTTCTGTGGCTGCAGGATGCCGGGCGCTTCCTGTTAACCCTTCCCTCGGGGTGCAGCTTTGGGGAGCACCTCCAAGGCCCGGCCCGAAGTGGGAGGGGGAGCCGAGGGGATTGACAAAGCAGGCAAAAATGCAGCCTTTTGCCTCCGGTTCCAGGTCTTGTTTGCAAAAGTGATCGGAAACGGTGAGGCAAATGCAGACCTTGCCCTCGGCCATGGAGTCACAGGGCCTGTTTCTTTTCCCCTCTGTTGCTAGGGGTTGTGCAGCCGAGGGATGGGGCGTGGCCAGCCTGGGAGAAGCTTCTGCACTGAGCTCCGAGAAGTCCCAGGATCTCTGGGGCTGGGCTGGGCGGGGAACCCAGGCCTCCCAGGTGAATCCAAGGTACAACTACGTCTGCCAGTCACTGTTCTAGCTGCCCCGATGGGTTACCTGAGGTCACCCCAAGAGCCAATTCCCTTGGTGGTCTGGGTCTCAGTTTCCCCCAGGTTGGGAAGTTCTCCCAAGGGCCTGACAGGAGCTAAGGGTGGCCTAAGGGGCCAGAGTGGGCCGAGCTGGGAGTCTTGAAAATGCTCTGCTCTTCTTTGGAGCCCTGGGAAGACATGCTGGGGAATTAGACCCTGTGTTCATTGAGGCTTCTTGCAAGGTCCCTTCTGTTTACAGTCAGCCTGAGAAGCGCCCTCAGAAGATTCCAGGAGCCTCCGAGGGCCCCTGGAGGCTCAGCATCCGGCCCCGGGGGCTTCCGGTTAGTTATAGACCAAATAACACTCGTCTGTTGTCAGAAGTGACCACATTTATTGGTGCTTCCTTGGAGCAGTGTGCTTGGCTCCTTACACAGACAGCCGTGTGTCAGTGGCGGGTGGTGGTCCCGTAAGATGAGCACCATATAGTCTAGGTGTGTAGGAGGCTATACCACCAGGTTTTTTTTTTCCCCCTTTTTCTCCCCAAAGCCCCAGTAGATAGTTGTATGTCATAGTTGCACATCCTTCTAGTTGCTGTATGTGGGACGCGGCCTCAGCATGGCCGGACAAGTGGTGTGTCGGTGCGCGCCTGGGATCCGCGCCCGGGCTCGGAACCCGGGCCGCCAGTATCGAAGCGCGCGCACTCAACCGCTAAGCCATGGGGCCGGCCCCCGACCAGGTTTGTTTTTAAGTGCACTCTGTGATGTTCCCACAACGACGACATGGCCTAAGGATGCATTTCTCAGAATGTGCCCCCATCCTAACATGTCCCCACCTTAAGCGATGAATGACTGTATTCACTTAGTTGACCCTCTCTGCAAGCCTGGATCAGAATTCAAGAGGGCACTTGCACTGGCCGCCTTTGACAGATGAGGGAATTGAGGCTCAGAGCAATCTTGTGCCTCGTAAAAGGAAGCCCCTTGTTTTTCTTCGTCTCCTGGATTTGGAGGCAGGGATTGGGTAGGGAGTTTTGTGTGTGCGTCTATATACAGATATATATACCCTGCTCCTTGTCTCCCGTTCACCGATAAGGAGAGAGAGCCTGGGGTGGTGACGGCTGTGCCCCAGGTCTCCCGCCACCGCCGGGAGGCCTTTTCTTTCCCTCCTCAAATCCGCGGCTGCCGGCCCACCAGGGTCCCTCTTCAGCTTTTTCAGACCCACTTACTGGGTGATTTTGTACCATCTTTTCCCCTTTCCTTGGGTGAAAATGTCCCCAGGGGCCAATTTGTGCCCACTCGGCCCACAGGCTTGATGAGGGCAAAGCTGCTTTTGGTGTGTGATTTGTTTTTTGGTGATCAGTATTTGCTGAGGAAAACCAAACGGATAGACTGGAGAGGCTGCCGCCGGCCCCCTCGTTGGTGTCTTGGACGGGACGGCTCACGGCTTCGGCTTCGCCCTTTAGACCCGAGGGCGGGTGGGGCGGGCCGGCGGAGGCTGCCCGTCCCGGGGGGTGTGTCAGAGGCCAGAGGGGCTTGGGCCTTGGCCCAGCAGCTGGGCCTCAGGCCAGCCCACTGCCAGTCAGCCTCCACCTGAGGCCCCCTCCCTCCTGTCCTCCCTACTCCCTCCCTCCCTCCCCTGCCGGGCCCGCCCTTCCGGAATGAGCCCAGTCCTGGCTGTGCGCCACTGGGCCGCCCGTGGCAGGCCTGCACTCACTGGCTGTGGGCCGTGCGGCTGTGGCAGTCAGACTCCGCCTGGGCGGGAGGTGGGCCCTTGGGACCCTCCCCCTGGGGCTGCTGTGTGCCCGAGCGGCGGCTCAGGGCTGCGGCACCGAGGTCCACGTGTTCCCCGGCTGCACTCCCATCCCCACAGACACTGCCGTAAACAGATACTGGAATTTTCAAAGTGCTGTCCTGTTGTTTGTGACAAGGCATTCCCTTCTGAGAGGGGTGGGCGGCCATGAAGCTGGCTCCGAGGGAGAAACTGAGGCTGCCAGAGGGGGCACACCCCGGGACAGCCAAAGCCTTCATTTCAGGCTGGGAGTCTTCCCCTCTCGCTGCTTTGCTTTGCATCTCTGGCCGCAGCTGCAGAGATGCGGCCACCAGGGAGTGGGGAGTGTGCGAGGAGGGCCCTCGGGGACTGTGCATCACAGTCGTGTCTGCCAGTGCAGCCGGGGCGTCCTCATTTTCTCCTTGCCTCCCTCCTTTCTCCCCGGGCTTGTCTGTCTTTCTCGTGACTCTGGACATCCGTGGGAGGGGGGCAGACTCGGTGCCCAACCTCCTAGCGGTTCCACTGGGACTAAAGCCAGCCCTGTCCCTGAAGGCTGGGGCCAGGACCCACCCCCAGGGCCACATGTCCCCAGCTTGAACCTGGGTTTCTTGTCAGACTGGCCTGGGGGGCTTTATCTCAACCCTGAGCTGGGTCTGGGCCCAGTGGCTTCCCTACAGCCACACACACACACACACACACACACACACACACACACACACGGCTCCTGGGAAATTCTCTGTCCCACTCTCCAAAGGGCCAAGGTTCCCTCTCATTGTCCTGAATTACCCTAGTGCACCTGTTCCTCCCCTTGGTGACTTCCCCTTTTGGCAGCTGGCCTGTACCTTCTAGAAAGCTCGGGGAAGATCCTCCTGCCAGCCGCCCTCCAGGTGGGCCAGGCACAGGCTCCCTCTGCAGCGTGCCTCCTCCCCTTCCATTCCAGTCCTTCTTGTCCAGCTCCTATGGCACCTGAGCCCATCCTTTCCTGTCGCCGTGCCATCCGGGGTACCCAGGAACCAGGAGAGCTCACGCCCCTTAGTGCCCCTCGTAGGCTCAGCGCCTTCTGGGCTCAGCAATGTTCAGTCTGCACGCTGTGTCCCCAGCACCACCGAGGCTGTGTGTCAGGAGCCCACCTATGTCCCCCAGTGACCCCAAAGCAGCGACAGCCCTGGTCCAAGGTCAGCTGAGGAGGGTCAGCTGAGGAGGGTCGGATTCCGACCCGGCTCTGTGGGCCTTGGGGCCTGAGGTCGTAAGAGCGACAATAATCGTCACAGCCGTTGCCTGCTGGCTTCAGCACTTCACGGTCGGGACTTGTGGAGTCCTCACAACAGAGCTGGTGGTGGTGTCAGCACCCGCGTTTCACGCGGAGGAAACAGGCCCAGCGAGGTTCGATACTGTGCCTGCTTTAGAGTCTTTACAGCTCGCAAGGGCCAGAGCCTGGATTTGAACCCAGGCACAGGCCGGGTTTCTCACTGCTGACAGTTGGGCGGGATCGTCCTGTGTGGTGGGGGCTGCCCGGCACATCGGAGGATGTTGAGCCGCAGCCCTGGCCTCCACCCACTGGGCACCAGTAGGGCCTCCCCCTGCAGTCGTGGCAACCAAAAATGGCCCCGGATGTGGCTGAATGCTGGGGGGGTGGGGGGGCAGGCTCGCCACCTGCTTTTCACTGCCCTGCGTCGCCACCCATGTACCCCCTTGCGAAGTAACACCGTGTGTGTGGGGGGTGCGTGTGTGGTGTGTGTGTGTGATGTGTAGTGTGTGTGGTGTGTAGTGTGTGTGTGGTGTGTGTGGTGTGTGTATGGTGTGTGTGGTGTGTGGTGTGTGTGTGGTGTGTGTGTGGTGTGTAGTGTGTGTGTGTGGTATGTCATGTGTGTGGTGTGTGTGGTGTGTGTGTGGTGTGTGTGTAGTGTGTGTGGTATGTGAGTGTGTGTGTGTGGTGGGTGTGGTGTGTAGTGTGTGTGTGTGGTATGTCATGTGTGTG